TTGTTTCAAACAACCAGCTACGTACTCTGTGACTGTGACTCTTTATACTCAACTGATTGGTTGAAACAAAACTTTGGCCAAGATCTGTACTTTCTGGACTTGAACTTTCCACTTCTGGACATTGGTACCAACTGATCTTATGATGGGATGGTTGACAGTCCAGGCCTCCTGGTAGACTTCTTTGTGGCTCATATGATGAGAGCGTTCTGTTTATTGACCCTTTGTTTCGCTTATAGGACTTCAGCCTCTACGCAGCTAAACACCTAATGTAGGAAACGCTCAATGAGGGTCACATGACTGTCTGTGTACAGCCGCCCTGATCTGTGCCGATCTGAGCGTGCCCAGGATGGTGGGTAACATCTGGGGAGAGAGATTTTTGTGAAGATCTCTCTGCTCCGAGGCAGGAGATGCAACCAAATGCATCATGGAAAACTTTGATGTGAATATGAGGACAACGTTTTTGAACAGTAAGGGAATTTACTTTTAAGTTTTTATTTTGCAATAATGTCAATGCACAACGTATGCTTAACCCAAGTATAATGACATCTACCTTATGATCTGTGGAGTCACATATCCAATAAGAGGAATATTTCCAGTCAGTGGTCAAATTCCAACCCACTTAGAGATCCAATGAGCCTTGATTCATTTTTCTTCATGCTGTAGTATGTCTTGGGCAGATTTCTAATAAATTTGGTTTGTACTTTACTTATTATATGTGCCACGTTGTGACATTTTAAGATTTATTTTACACTTGTGTTTTTTTTTCTTCTTTTTTTACAGTGGTAGTTTGATATGCATAATGCCCTGGAAGCGATGGCCTTTCACAGTGTGCACCGGTGCAGTCAGATGAAACATTCATTTGCAGCATTCACACAGGTCTGCTCCGGACGGCTTCACTGAAGATACATCAATACAAGAGAGCAGACCGACGTTGGGCACTAAAGATGATGCAATATCGGAAGCCACTGGAAAAGTCTACCCGGTGCATGCACAAGTTTGACACAGTGTCCTCCACTGGAATTTATATGTGAGCAAAATATTATTTGTTTTCCCGGGAAAACTAATTACCGTGAAGTATAAATGTCAGTCAAAACCATACTCCTTACAAAATCGAGTCCCTAAATAGGCAGCGCCATCTAGTGGTAGACTAAGACATTGCGCTTGTTGCTGGAGAACAAAAACTAAGTAAAATATACTAGATGCACCAGCTTTTGCCTTGGTCTTTCATGCACATGTAAAGCTAATACATATTTACCTTGTTTAATTTCACTGACAGTTTTCTTGTTGAGAATACACCACGTAGAAAGTGTAGGCTGATTTTTGTGAGATAAAAGGCAGAATCACTGGGCGCGAGCAAAGAAAAAGACAAGTAGCAGAGATTAATAAAAGCCGTTAATAAAAGAGAAGCCATGTAACAGCCACCAGTGAGATCATTGTTGGGAACCTGGGAATGTTCCGGAAATGATTCAGTGGCCATAAACATGTGGCGCTTTAGGTGAGCTTCACTGCATGCGCTCCCCGTCTGAGACAACGTGGAAATGGCTTGCTAAGTTGGCACCGCTCAGACGATGGCGCAATCGGCCATATCCTCCCACACTTTTTAGCTCATGACCGTTAAAATAACCTTTCGCCGACCAGGGCTGATTCCTCCATAGATTTATCGCGCTCGGTTGCGCTTTTGGTGCTTGTGGGAGTTTTACTTACACAAAAATGTTCTGAGGGCAGAACGAAAAAGGAATGGTACAGAGATATAAATCAGATTGTAGAGGAGGTGTGTTCAAGCAACTAGAAGAGGCGGGAGCAAGACATCTGATTGGTTGGCCCCACCTCCTCTAGTTGTTTGGACCCACCTCCTCTACAATCTGGTTGGTTATTTCTCTCCACCAATCATTTTTCACCGCGCCCTCAGAACATTTTTCCGTAAGTAAAACTCCCATTAGTGGTTAGCGTTAAAATCGATTTTTTTCCCACATTTCCTGAAGATTATCTTGCAGCCTCCAACCAGTGTTTTGCAAGCCCCTCTTCGGGAATCCTTGCCCTAGGCAATCACCTAATAGGCTGAGCTCTACCTTTGGCTGGTGGTATGTTCAGCATAGACAGCTGAAGCTGGTCCCCCTCCGAAATGGGTCCCCAGGGCTGATAGCTGCTCCTTAGCACCAGGCTGTGGACCATACACCCACCATACAGCAATGCTGGCTCTGAGATGCCGTCGGCATAGCCTTGTTGCATGGATGTTTTATGAGTTCCTCTCAATGGATTTCACACAGAATAATACGCAATAATGAGAATCTAATATTATCACAATGATGAGCCATTTTGTTGGAGATGAACAGTCCATGAACAGTAAATCTATAAATAAGTAAATCTAATTACTGTAGCCTACCTATTAGACCAACAATACAGGCAAATTAAGCTCTAGACACGACATGACATATTAGTTTTGAATATTGAACTATAAATATGCAATAATATCCTTTAAAAGTAGGTATGAATAACCACAATAGTACAATTCTGCACTGTGCCCTCAGTTTTATGAACTTGAATAGCTGAAAATGGGTGAAGCCTTTATATTTATAATAGATTAGATTAACCGTTAAAAACATGATCTCCAGCTGGATTCTGGTGTGGATGTTATTTAATTATTCATTACAAATTGTTCCATCTAAAAGTTTAATCAGTGTCAGAAAAAAAATCTAATTTCATTAGCAAGTTCGTTTTTTCCCCCCAATTAATGACATGAAATGTTTTTGTTGTATTTTTAGCTTTTCTCCTGTGCAACTATAAAATCAAGTAGAGTATGAAACCAGCTATGGATGTCAGAAAATACGTGAGGCTTTTTTTTTCTGAAACACTGTGCTGCTTGATAAACACCAATCTGCAGTATTGGTTTCAACCCTATAGGGGTACTTAACAACTAAGGCTTGATGTAATTCAGTATCTGCAGACCATGTAAAACAAGGGATAATACATATTTAAATTAATTGTAATGCCCAGAGAAGTTTGTCTGTCTTAAAGAAACTGATGTGTGCTTGGTTTTCCCCATTATTGGAGAGTCTATGACTTATAATATATTAAATGCTGTCAATTCTAAAAGTACAATTCTAAAAAAAACTGTTGGGTTAGAGTTTGAAATATTTATTTGTCTGAAGCTATAAGCAATGACAATTTAAGTACATAAGCAGCTCCATGAGCTTATCTAAGTAACAGAACATTAAATTCTTTAACTAGGACAGAAATTCTAAGATAATATACATGATAAGAAATGACTATTTCTACCACAGTTTAATGTGTGTAAATGAATAAAGAATGAGAACACAAGCTGAACTGACACCAATGAAAAGTTCATTTAAAAATATCTCATACAGAGATAAAACAATATTAAAGAATATTCCGCATGACCGAGATTTCCAACTGTTTTCCACAGCTGTTTGGTACTGAATGGAGATGACAGACCTGACCCTTGTGTTCAGAAATGTTGTAGCGGAGATACAGACCCCACAAACAGACCAGGTCTCACATGTCAACGCTGAAGTAAAGTGAAACCAAAACTGAGAAGAAAAAATCTTTTATGTTTTAACATCAGCCACAAAAAAGACACTTTTTCTTTTGTGAATCAAAAATTAACTTTTATAATTAAGGTAGTTTAATTTCTTTGGTAACACTTTACTTGACGAGGCACCAATACTACTGAAGTACAAATCATGAACAAATTTAGTTGCTACTTGAGGTAAAATATGCATCACGATTCACTAATGATGAACAAACATGACATCAGTATTTCACTTGTGTCGTTCATTACTTGTCCTTTCAGTAGTTCCCTTATTAGTTTTCTGTAGTTCACAAGGGTTGATAAAATTATCAGATATAGTAACAAATACAGTAACTGTTCGGCATGAAAGATGCATCATGATTCATTAATGATGAACAAATGTGAGAACAGCATTTCACTTGTGTTATTCATGACGTACCTCACAAAGGTTAACAGAATTAAAAGACATAGTAACTGCTTGATAAAAGTATGTCATGATTTATAAATGATGAATTAACATGAGATCAGTGTGTGAGTTTGAGGTTAATTAATGCATAAGTAATAGCATAATACTGTATTATTTGTGTCCTGTCACGTAAAGTGTTACAAAATTTTTATACCTCAGTTGGCTTGCCTCAGAGAAGCTCTGAAACACGCATAAAAGTTACAAAGGGGTTGCAGTGAAATTGTCCTTGAACAGTCATTCGGTTAACGGCAGCCAGTGTTTTTTCATTACGAGGCGTGGGACTTGAGCCACTGGGATATCGGCCCACTAATCAGACTGGTCAAGTCGTTCTGGCCTACCTTCAGCAACACCTGAGGGTTGGTTGAGCAACCCCTTAGGCCCCTCCTTCTCCTTTCACCACACCAGACTTACATCTCCAGCTTCGACGACCGAGATCATGTGATGTGACTGCACTGCATTCACTGCATGCGGAGGGACATGCCGGCACTCAAGGGTCCTTTTAGGCGCCGCTGACGACTCCTGCCTGCAGTCCGCATCTGAATTTTACTCTGAGGCTTGTATCAGCCAGAATCTTAGCTTTTGCTCAGACTTGCCGCAGCCAACAATCCAGGCACCTGCCGAATCCATCTCACATCCCAAAATGAATATAACAATGATCTGTGCAGTCAAACAACTGAATCTCACCACAAATTATATACTGAATTATCGACAGAAGGTGAGCTTCAACCTAAAGATAAATACCTGCCAATTCTTAAAAATTTTGTGGCAGTTACTGGGCGGTAAACATTGAAAAATCAAATACGAACTAGGCAGCAGTTCTGAATTGTAGAGCTTTAACGGTAAAAATCTAATTGTAAAGGGTAGCGCTTATTGGTGAAAGTAATATGTGTGATGTGGTATTTGATTTATGGCTTTAAACTATTGTACAAAGGGCGAAACACACCTTTTAAAGAAATTGGCACATTTATCAAGTAAGTCCAAAGGAAACAGCCACGCCCTTAATTAAAAAATGATCATGTTACCCACTACATGTTTGTTTATTCCACCTGTAATGTGATTTGACTTTAATTACAAACAGTGTGAGGAAACGCCCAGGTTGTACTACACAGTGAAGAGAAGCATGTTAAAATACATCATATCGTCGTTCTGGCCTTTTGATACCACAGGATGTTAACACTCTTCTAAAGGGGAGAGGTACTGCGCTACAGCTTTTGCGTATGACGACTTTAGCGGTGTATGGCGTCGTGTAAATCACAAAATCATGATACCCGAATCTGTCAGCAACACCCATTTTTTTAACGATCCATATTTTTTCTAACAAAGGCAGTAAGATGGAATTTGTGCTTTACTCGAGTGCGCCCCCTTGTGATAAATGTGGCCACACTGCATCAGTAAACCTGAATTAGAGTATACCAATTTTTTTCCCCCCAAGGCATACAAGTTGTGCAAAGGTCACTGGCCTACGGTCACATTTCAAATAAAACCTCACTCAGACTACAGATGAGAAACCATTATCAGCCTTAAATCAGACGATTTCTTTGCTTTTTTTTTTTTTTTTATTGGCAAAGTTGTTAAACGTTATGGCACGATGCGAAATGGACACAAAGACAGCTTCCCCAGAGAAAATAAGGGGCACCGGGACTTTAAAAACAACGCGGTCTTCTAACGACACGCGACAGCTGACACCTATAGAAGAGCATACCACAGACACGCCCCACAAACAGAGTCAGCGGTGTTAGGGTCACTCGACAGGAAAGTACCCACTGTAACACTGGATAGGATTTTTTTTTCTGGTTTTTTTTGTGCAACATTGAGAAACAAGGTCAAAGTAAACAAGCCGACTACATTTACGGCACGGGGAGATGCGGGGAAGGGGTTCCCAACTAGGCCGAAGCTGCCTGCCCGCAGTGCTCCCCTCCCCTCCTTGACTCTCTCCCGTCTTCACTTCTCCACCAGCGTGGTCTCCGTCTTCCCGCCAGCTGTCGCCAGCTGCACCAGGCTCCCGCAGCCGGGACGGTCCACCCCCACGGTCCAGTTGAAGAACATCCTGGAAGAGATGAGACGAGCCTGATCCTGACAGGCATGTCCACAGCACCAGCTGCCTCCCCGGCGCCGTTCTTCCACCATAATTAATCCTCCACGGCTAATTCTCCCAACATCCCCCAGAAGCATTAAAAACCTAATCAAATCGCCGAATAATCCTCTGTTTCAGCCAGGCAGTGAGCGAGCACTGACCAAAGATGGTACACGTCTTTCCCGCACATTAGGAAGATGAGCTATGCACGTCTCTATCTAGAACAACTACGGAACACCAGTATTGACTTATATCTACTCATCTTGAGTAGAAATTATCTACTGGACACAAGAAGTATCTTTTTTTTAGTAAGGAGAAAAAGAAATGAATTAATAACTGAATAAAACCTAAAACCGGTGCCTCAGTCTTCAGCCATTACGCATTAAAAACATCGTTCACAAATTAGAAAATGACAAAGTATCGACTCTGGACTATTTAAAGATAGGTTTATGCAGATACTCTGCCTCTAAATTAAAATGAACCCCCCACCCCCACCCAAGAGAATACCTACAACATTGTACCCACATTCTAATCCCTGCCTCACAACCCACTCAAAAGTCCAAAGTACGCAGGACGAAAACAGGTCACATCTTATCTGCCCAGCATGAGCCAGGCCCTCACTCACTCGGCCACAAAGTCCAGCGGCGTCCATGAGCTGAAATCTGCATCGGGCATCGATTTTCTGTTCATCGGCGTATCCAAGGTAACGCTGTCAAAGGCACACGCAGCAGTTACCAGACGGAACGACACGCCCTGAGGTGTTTCATGCCGGGGAGTTCAATGAAACCATTTCTGATTAAAGATGCCTGTTAATAAATAATCAACCTTCGGCCTGTGAAGTTTGAAATGAACGTTTGTGCAACGTGTTCATCTGTGCGTCGAGCGCTATTCACAAGCAAAAACGTTAATCATCAGGAATTTAATTAAAGTGCGATGTACTATTCCAAACTAAAAATATATAAGCATACAAAGCCAATCATGGCAGTAATAAGAAGGACTTGTGGGAGTTTTACTTACACAAAAATGTTCTGAGGGCTGCATGAAAAGTGATTGGTTCAGAGAGATAACCAATCAGATTGTAGAGGAGGTGGGTCCAAGCAACTAGAGGAGGCAGGACCAATACATCTGATCGGTTGGTTCCACCTCTTCTAGTTGCTTGGACCCACCTCCTTTACAATCTGATTGGTTATCGCTCTGAACCAATCATTTTTCTTTATGCCCTCAAAACATTTTTGTGTAAGTAAAATTCCCATGAGCACAAGAAGGTTTAAGAGGAATAAAGAGGGAAAAAAATATATATAATATATAAAAATATATATAATATGCCTTTATAGGGGAGTCTAAATTTATATGCACTCAGTTTGTTTCACAAAGTCGAAGAGTAAGAGGCAAAGGTCGATAATTCAGAATCTGAGGACGATAACATTTCCCGTTCATTTCACTTGAGCCCTTTTCTGACTAAATCTCGCTAAATCGCTCCTGAAATGTTAAACAGATGTGCTAGGCTCACGTGGGACCCAAGAGAGAAGAGGACTAAAGAATGCGTTTGAAGCACGATCTTCAAACTTTCAGAAATTATTACAAAATTATAGCAAGTGCTTTGAAGTGACAGTAGATGTATAAAAACGTCCATAAAAAAAAACCCATAAAAAAAACAACAACACACTGACCACAAAAGAAGACGTGGATTTTTTTTAAAGCTGACTATAATACTTGAGGCCACATATAAATAAAACAAATAACACAGTTGACCAGCAGAGGGAGCCGGCGGTGACGTGCCCACCGCTTCCCAGTACTCACGGCAGGATGGCCACCGCCGCAGAACCGGAGGGCAGTCCGCTGTTCTCCCCGGCCAGACTGAGGCACAGCTGGTGAACTGCAGCTTTGGCCATGCCATAGCCAACCATGCCTGCAGGGGGAGCACAAGAGCTGAGAAGGGGATCACAGGAGGCAGCCGAACAAGAACGAATTCACCCCCCAAGCCAAAGCTTTGCAAAAGGATCGCTCATTAGCGGGCAGAATCTGAACAGGCAGGACATTAACTGGTAATAAGAGCTCAGCAATGAGCAGTGAATGTAGATACCCTGAATGTCTTAAAATGATTTACATCCCAAAAGATCCCAACCATAACACAACAAAGCTAAAGTGTATATATACAGCAGATGTGTAGCACTGTTTTAATTTTCAACAGGAGGGAAACAGCCGTGACAACATCGAGTGCTTAAGCTCCGCCTCCTACTGGCTCAGCAACCTGGAATCAATTACCAGCATGCTCAGTTTCAGTTACAGTTTACCCTCTGGGTAGCATATTTTTAATCACCTAGCAATGCAGACAAAGAACTACCCTAATCCGACTGACCAATGAGAGTGAGGGGCGAGGCGCTCATTTCTATAGAAACATTCCGCACTTCAGTTTTTAATACTAGGATACAGATTCATGTATATTTGTAACCTATACTTGATATAGATTTATATACTTGCATGAAAGTGAGGACAAAAGGTGATACACACTTTGACAAGCTTTTAAAAAAACATATAAAGTGTTACAAAACAGTTGCAAAAGTTTTACCTGTGGAATTGTCAAATGATAAATTCTATTTACAATTACAATATGAAGGAAAACAATAAGCTAAAAGCTGTGTGTAGGAGGAGGATTTTGGAGTGAAATAAGCACCACACTTTACGTTTTTTAATCCAGCTATGAATCTCAAATGTTTTGCAAACAGTAAGTTCTGTTTAATAAAATACTCATTCCACAGTTTTGCATGCAAATATAGCTATTTATTTATTTTAAAATAATTAATAATTACACTTCACGACCCATCAATAAAAAAAAGTGATTAAGGAATATGGAATTTCACATTTATGACAATTCCTGGCATAAAATTATGAGACGCAGATACTGAAGGCAAGTAATTTAGATTCACCGTTTTAAATTTCCTGGAAAACAGCAAGGCTGTTCTTTCCCCGTCTCTGTTTGCACAAGCTCATTTGTTCAGCCTGTTTAGTCAGTGTGGATGTCAGTAACCTTCAACCTCACAAAACAAATGGCCTAGATTTTAAAAATCTGCCTCACTTTATTTAAAAAAATAAAAAATCTGCCTCACTGATAACTGTAAATGCACACGTGTAATTCAGTTTTATTACCGGGAAACATTAATAAAATTTATCTTACCCGGAGTTCCCTCGAGACAGGCCCTAGCACCCGACAAGGTTAAAAGACCGCCGTCCTTCAGATGTTTGGTGGCCAAATGACTGGAGATGGTTGATGTCCAGACACTCTGCTTCCACATCAGGTCGCTGTTTTTGTACAGCGCTTGAGAAAACAGGACAGGAAGCAGAATAAGTGATGGGACACATCAGCCTGAAGGTCTGGCCACCAAAAGTCAATGATAAAACAGATTTGCAGAAAGAACCTCTCAGCTCTGCTGTGGATCTACAGCATCATGTCTTGTCTAGGGTTACAATCACTGGTTAGATGTCCCAGTCCTCCTGAGGAGAGCAACTGACCTTTGGCTTTCGCGCTCCCTCCTGCCCACCCTCCTGCCACACAGAGGATGGCGTCCACCTTATTCCCTCCCAGCAACTGACACACATCGGCTGTCACCTGTTGCACGGGAATATAATGCGCCCGGAAGTTAACTGATATGCCGACCATGGAGATATACAGCAAAGCAATTCCTTATGTTTTAGCTATTAGCGCACACGATCCTTTTTAAAATTGTAAGGCAGATCGATGGTAAAAAAAAAATCAAATATTATTTTACGATCGTCGGTTGCTGATAGTTTACACTGATTTAGATTTTATGTCAAAATGCAAGACATGAAAAGGCTACAGAACCTGTTCAGCTTGCTCAGGGAACGAGTCCGTCAGCTTGACAAGCACGTTGGCGTTCGCCTCTTCGTTAGCGGCCACATCCACGCAGGCTACCCACTTAAAAAATAGATTGATGCAAATTAACACACCATGCACACTGTGCAACTTACACATTTAAACGGGTCTGTCACCAAGTGCATTTGATTTCTGCCGATTCTAAAGTACAACGAATCAGGCACTTCAGCAGTACTGTTTGATTGGATGCAATTTAAATTAAATATAGGAAGTAAAATTACTACAGAAAAATAAAAAAAATTGCAACATAAGTAAAATAATGACAAGCGAAAGGATTTTTTATTCTACTTGGACTCACCCAGCTTTTAGATTTAAAATACTGCACGCACGCAGAGCCGAGAGCCCCTCTTCCTCCGTACACGATGACTCGATGGGCTTCAGTAGCTGCCATTCCCACCTAGACGCTCTTCACAGACACCACGATTAAATGCGCAGCACCCGTCCGACCCATCAGCAGGACCTGGCCGAAGCTCCGGCTCACGCATGCGTGCTGGAGCCGCGCACTCACCCGACGTGTGCACAACGTTATCCTGCGAACTTGGGGCATTCATATTTGTAGTTTTCTGAGTATCGGTATATTTAAGAACTTTACTTTTGTTAGTTGTCTTGTCTGCTTTGCATGTTGTTTTTTACGCATATCAACTCAAATTAATAGTTAAAATGTGGTAAGATGGCACTGTTTATAAAACGCCTATACAGAAAGGTAATTAAATAATGAAGATTAACGAAGAATATTGTTTTGAACAAAATAATATGAACATACAAGTAAATAGAAACCTGTAAATCCAAAACATAATACGTAAAATGCATTCTATTGTAAGAGGCTTTTTGTATAAAATTCTTTGTCCATATAGGCTAACCCAAAGTACCTTCCTTTAAATGAATAATGATGTGTTCTCTTTGTTTTGTTTTCTGAAACCAAAATGCCCAACATATATTAAGTACTTTTTAAAGATATTCTTAATATTTTTGTGAGCTGATTTTCATTGCGATTCTGCAGCAGCAGTTTATTGCCTGTCCCCAGACGCAATTTGTTTTGTGCGTCATTAATCCCGATCTTGCGACCTGCGCGTGCTCTCCGCAGCCTTTCTGCTTTGTGGTCCGGAAGAATTGCTCTCCACGCTGGTGAATGACCTTTGCAAAGCATGAATGTCATGCTGCAACATGTGTCACAGCTCATCCGCATAACTGGCGACTCTGTAAAACATATCTGTAAATTCAGGGAATTGGATGAGATAGTTTTAGTGTTATTCTCAATGTCAGTCCCCAGCGCATTTAGCCCAACTGATTAAAAATGGGAGGAGGAGCTCTTAGACTATTGGATGGAATACAGGGGTTAGAATTTCCCCCTGCCACAAGATCCCTCTTCTGATAGACTCCATCTCTAGGTCTCACAATGGCATATTCACAGTTTTACTAAGCTGTTTTTTATTTTTCATTCTTATCCTTGTTAATTTAGACAACAGCACTGCAATGATCTTAAGAAAACTTTGAAAACAGGATCTTTAGGAAAACGGTGCAGGAATGCCAAACACTGGCAGCACATTGCATTATATTACACCCAGGCAGCATGTGGTCAGGCTTTCATAAACAATGAAATGCCTGGGATCTGGAAGAAGATCACGTTTTCCTTCGCCTCTCTGCTCAACATTGCCTCAGTTGTTCTGACAGTCGTGGCACTTTCTACTGAGAAGTGGGTAATTGGGAGAATCCTATGCCAGACTGGTGCTGATCTGGTCAACGCGTCTGATCCTGAACTGGACAAGTTTATCGGTGACATATATTTTGGGCTGTTCCAAGGGGGCAAAATATGGAAATGTGGTCTGGGAAGCAGACGGTCCAAAATCTACAGTAAGTTATTTGTTGTAATTTTGTGCAATGTGTACCAGTACATTATCTAGTCATTTTAATTTGTTATATAGATTGACAATTTCAATTGTGATGACTGCTAACTGAAAAGACATTCTAAAGAATAATTATTCTTGAAATGGAAAGAATTTGGTGATCATTACATCTATAACATATCACTCGCTATTATTTGCATAATAATACAGTCACAAATCTAGCAACATCTTGACCGTATCGACAACCATCACTCTGAAGTATGTGTGACATTGCGTGTTTTTTTTTTCAGTATTCCCGAGGCTTGTGAAGAAGCTGAATGGTGGCCTTCACATGATTATCATCTTATTCCTTTTTGTTGCCATTGGTTTTTCATTTGTAAGTTTAGCATTCTGCATTTATAATGCACGAAAAATTCCATATCAGTCTATTAAAGGGCCTCCAGGACTATACTTGTGGAATTTTATTGCAGGTATGTGGACCAAAATAAATGTTTGTTTTCTTATGTCAAAACATAAAACCACAAATACGCCCTCATGCAATACTGCAGAGAAACGACCGTGTATTAACCCCCTAAATGGCTAATCGCGGGAAGGTTTTATAGATGTTTCTGCTCTGTCCAGGTGCCTTTGGAATGTTCGGCATCGTCTGCTTCATCGCAGCTGTAAACCAGCACCGTCTCACGGAGAGAGTGGCGAACTTCAAGGAGGACATCTTTCGATTCGTTGTTCTGGAGGAAGAATACGACTTCTCATTCTGGCTGTGTGTGGCCAGCACTGCAACTCACGGGACAAATTTTATTGTTGTAGCCATGAGTAAAATCCACTTTCCAAAAATACAAACTAAGAAGCCAGATGAACCAAGCGTCACAGCTGAAGACTTCCTATACTGAGAGTGGATATAAGCACAAATAAGAAGAGTGGACTAGGAAAAGCAAGCACAAGCTCATGGGAATCAGTAGTATTCTGATTTTATTAGATACATTTCTGTGTATACGTTACAGGCCAGAAGCCCCCCCCCCAGATTTAAAAAATAAAATAAACAATACACTGCTTTGTTAAACTTTCATTACAAGAAAATGTCAGAAATACTTAAAACAAATGTAACTGACTGTTATTCATTATTTTATAGCTTGTAGTAACAAATTATTTAGCTACAAAGGCTGAAAGTATTGGTTTTGAAGACATATCAGGTCTGTCTTTAGTGCATTGACATTCACTTTGTGTTGGAATTCTACTTACTAATGTCCGAACTTGATCTGCTCTTGGCCTGATTGTGTCTTAATAAACTAAACGATAGCCACTTGTCTGCCTTGTCCCAGATTGTTTTGTGAGAGGTTTAATGCACTGTCTGCTCCTCATTTCAATCTTCTGTTGTACTTTATCACAACTGATAAGTCAGAATTTTTGATAAATATTTGCTTTTTTGTTTACTGGCTAGAAAGGTACAGCTAACAGTTGAACAGAGGGCTCAAATCAAAGTTTTGAGTGAAGGGTTCTCCCATCGCCAAATAGACAGAAAGTTAAATGTTTCTAAGCATGGAGTGACCTATTGTATACAGAGAAAAAGGTTGACAGGAAGCAACAGTGACCAGAAATGGTCGGGGGCAAGGAAAGTGACATCAAAGGCTGAAGATCAACACTTGGTTGTGATGTGCAAAAGAAATTGGAAGATGACCTCAGAGGTCTGTGATTAATTTGAACAGAGGGCAACCAGTGTCTTAAAACAGTCGAGCAAAGACTGAGAGCAGCTGGACTGCATGGACGAGTTGCTGCCAGAAAACCTTTACTTTGTGGTGTTAGCAAGAAAAAGAGACTAGTATAGGCGAAACAAGACAAACACTGGATTATTCACGACTGAGAACAGGTCTTGTGGATGGATGAAAGTCCATCCAAGGGATGAGCTGGAAGTTTTAAAGTGAACATCTAGCAAATGAGACAGAACTGTTTGCATCCTTGAAAAGGTGCTGGTAGAGTTTGGACACAAGTTATTAACAAAAATTGCTGGAAAGGTGGCTGTGAATTCGTGCTGCTGTGATAAAGGCAAGGGCTGGATATTTTGATGAAACTCGTACTGAGGCATTGCACCATTATATTCTTGTAATAAAAGTTTGAAAAAGCAGTGTATCGGAGGGCGGGCCCGAACTTCTGGCTCACAATTACTTCTTCAGAAATTGACTTTTACATAAAAGTAAATAGTCTATGTTAAAGCCTGTCAGATAATGTAATATGATAAAATGTACATTAAAAATGAAAAGTTCCAATATCCTCATCTTACAACAGCCTTTCCTTTGTAGTAAAAGAGGCATTAAAGGCTCATAAAACAGGTTTACAGTACATAAAAGTCTGCTTAAGAATGTAAGTCTATGCCGATTACTATGTCACATTTATTATTATATATACTAAGGTATATACTGCACTGTTCATTCAAACTAATTCCACTTCTTTTATTTAAAAAAAAAAAAAATCATTGAATAAAAATAAAACCGCTGCAGCTCACATTAAGTGAGTTTAGTTTGCATTCTGAACAATATAATGCTATGGTGGTAATTTTGCAAGGACCCCTAACAACGTGTGTCGCTTTTTTGATGACGTAAGAGAACGGTGCGTTTTACGATCTCTGTAGCGGACACGTGGTTACGTGTCTATCTAAAAATTTTGATTCCGTTTTGTGTTAAAGTATTATACGAATGATAATGATTTCCTTTAGAAAAAGAATATTAACTGCGGTATTCAGGCACAACTGCAGACGTTTCTCCATATCGCGAAACACACAGGCAGAGAAAAAAGTAAGTTCAATTATCCTGATATTTTTTGTAGTAAGATAATATAGTTTAAAAGTAGAGCTCGGTATTTTTGTGTAGTTACCTACCTATGTACCAGTAGTCAGGTAGTGAGTTTCGATGGCCACGTTATCTAGCTGATTGGTTTGCTTTTTGTGTATGTTTAGAATCTGAAGTAAGTCTTAATATGTAAAATCAAAATTATTTCAGTGTCATGTTGGTACAGAAAATGGATGGATAGAAAGCATAAAGTAAGTAGTACTTGAATGACACAAAATTATATTCACAGGGCTTGGTCCTTGGCGTCTATGAAAAAGAAAAAGAAGATGAAAATCTGCGGTTCACAGACGCTGCCGAGACCTTTGACAGATCGCTCTCCGGAAGGCTGAGAGAGCTGCTATCGACGTCAGTTAATTACCATCCTCACAATTATGTTTGAATAATTGATCCAGATATATTCAATGGTCTTACCAGAATTGTTGTTTTTTAGATCCGGACCACCTCTCAAAAAAGGAAAAAACCGAGTATTTTATGGAATTCATGAGGTATACAATAAAAATACAATGCATTTTACTTTACATCTGTGTTATATTTTTGTCTACAGTATTTGTTAAACTGCAAATACACTATTACAGTGTTTCTCTTCAGAAATGTTTATGTTATAGTTCGACCGAGGTAAACTTTTAAAATAAAATATTTGAATGTCTACCTTTGTTTTAGGAATTCCCCAGCGTGGTTGTTGTAGGGCTCGGTAAAAATGCTCCAGGAATATGCGATAAGGAGAACTGGGACATCTCCAAAGAGAATATTCGAGCTGCTGTTTCAGGTATTGTTATTATTATTATTAGAAAATATTTTAGCCAAGCTGTGCACTGTGAAATTGCACTGTATTTAAAGTGCATGTACAGTACGTGTTTGTATATATGTGTAGCCCTTTGCACCGTGGTTGTGGAATGGAATTTCATATCATTATACTGCCATATGTAGGAAATATGACAGTAAAGTTCACTTCATTTGACTTGTCTGTCTGTGGGGTGTCATTGTAGCCCTGTCTTGTCACCATGGTTACAGGGTGGTTTCCTCTGGATGCTCTGATCTCCTGTAGTGTATGGACATTGTCTGGTGAATTGGTGTCCCCAAGTTGACCTTTGCATTTACCGGAGCGTGTACAATATGGGAGGCCCAGTAGCAGACTGGCAGTCCATCACGGTGCCCCCTGCCTTGTGCTATTAGTGCCTGGGACAGGTTCTAGATGTGGACTTTTAGGATTGACTTGTATGATCATTTAAATATCAGTTAGGAGGTATGCTTGCTCAGAGGTTAACTTTCATAAAGTTAACCTGGCTTCAGAAAGCATGGGAACGGATGCAGCCAGGGGTGACATAGAAGCTGCAGATGACTGAGGGGCCTTCCTGGTTGTGTCAGCTGGCTGCAGGGTTCTGCAGGACCAGGAAGTCCCACTGGTGGAGGTGGACCCCTGCAGAGATGCTCAGGCGGCTGCGGAGGGAGCTGTACTCGGCCTCTTCGAATACGACGAGTTTAAGCGGAAGAAAAAGTTTGTGGTCAAAACTCAGCTACATGGCGAGTAAGTTCACATCATTTAAAAGCGAGTTTCCCAGTCTGGTGCTTGGGGACCCACAGATGGTCCACATTTTAGCTCAGGAACTGGGAGGGAGCGAAAACATGGCCTGGGGATGCCTAAGGACCGGATTGGGAAATACTGCTATGGATCACACTGTCAGTACCCGCTGTCGAGGTTGAATTGTATGTGAATGAAAAGTTTGGTTCTTTTTTAATATATTTAACATACTCTGAGGTTTACCATCAAATGATTAAAAGCTACAGTAGCCTTTTTCATCCTGTTTCCTATAGCCGGGAGTTTCCCAATCTCAGCTCCTGGAAGGGAGCAATAATATGGACTGTCTGGGAGGGAGCAAAAATGTGGATCGATTGTGGGCCCCCAAGGACGGGATTGGGAAACTGATTTAAAGGATTAATGCATTTAAAGACATGTTTGTTTGTTTGTATTAAGAACCTTTATGCAAACAATGTTGGGTTTTTTTTTTTTGACAACTAACAGTATTATTAGTAATACGAGTTGTGATTTGAATCTGTTCCAGACCCCCAAATGAATGTCTATTTAAACTTATCTAACTAACTAATGAGATAAAGCATTAATAATCAATATGAAACTAATAAATATGAAAAAGAACACATATAAAAGCAATAAACATGAAATCAATGACAATTTCTGAGCACGTTACCTGTACTGAGGTGAGCTGATGGCATACTGGAAGTGGCAGGTGGAGAGGAGGAGGGGTGGGGGGGGTTATTGTTTGGGAGGGGAAACGCTTCTCCATCCCTACAAGTTTTAGCAGGAACTGTCGAGTTCCAAGATTTTGGTCGAGGTACGAGTAAAAAAAAAAAGAAAAAGAAATACAACAGACTCGTTCCATGTCCGAGTTAAGAGGCGCTCGAGTTCCAAGGTTTTTGCTGCATTTGAAATGCACTAACTTTTATTTTCGATTAAAATGTTTTGTCTCTTACATCTGATAAAGTGTTATCTTCTGTCTAGCTCTGACAATGCCGCTTGGGAAAGAGGAGTTTTATATGGAGAAGGACAGAATCTGGCAAGAAGATTGATGGAAGCCCCAGCCAATCACATGACCCCAAAGCTCTTCGCCGACACTATAGAGCAGAAGCTTGCATCTCTGTCGGACAAGGTCACCATTTATAAGAGGTAGACTTATTGATGTCATCTGTTGTTTGTTTTTCCTGGACAAAGTAGCTTTGCAGCTTTAAAATCTTGTCTTGTGTCTGCAGTATTGTTCAGTATTGTTTAAAACATAAACAGGTATTTATAAATGGTATTAACTGAGGAGCGTATTTAAGTATGATGGATAAAGTACAGTCTTCCACTCATCATTTAATCCCACTGCTATTTTGTTTTGTAATTTTTAATGTGAAGTGCTTGGTGATGAAGTTATGGCCGTAATAATACTGGTAATGCTGTTTTACCGTAGACCTCAGTCTTGGATTGAGGAGCAGGAGATGGGAGCTTTCTTAAGTGTGTCGAGAGGCTCGGATGAACCACCTCTCTTTCTGGAACTTCACTACAATGGAAACCCGGACGCCAGTCAGCCTCCCCTCGTCTTAGTAGGGAAGGGAATAACTTTTGATAGGTAACGTGTGTTTTTTTTTTCCTTTGGTATGCAAGTAGGTAAAATGGACACTTTTACACCTTTCACAGGCAAGGTCACGAAGTGCTTTTACAGCAAATGAAATGTTAAAACAGACGAAGAATGGAGACAGGAACATAGTGACAATAAGCACCTGTCTAATTATAATGCCTCGAGTTACTCCTCAAATCAGCATAAAGCCGTCTAGATGGAAAATCGGGCAGTATAATGAAAGGAATAGCAGCAACTTAAGTGTGACAACAATCCATTAGAAGCTTTTATTAGCAGAAATGTCTTAAGTCACTTTTTAAAAGACTCCACACCGTCGGCAGTATATTCCACAAA